CGTGATATCGACGCCTGAGTAGAACAGCTTCCATCCATTGAGGTTCAGGAGTCCAGAGCCTGGGCGTTTTTTTTGACGAGAGTCCAACAATGCCGAGTTGGTACTTCGTGGCCTCTTCAACTAACCCTTTCTCGTTCCCTCTGAGTGAGAATATAGTTTTCTTTGCTGTGCTATCCAGTATGTTGGTCGCTGCTCATTCTATACATTGCAGGGGACATGCCGATTTGAAGGCGGGCAGTAAAAACGTTTTACATTTATAGGCGAAATGATGGTAATCATAACGCCATAGACATTATACCAATGGCGGATGTCGCTGAAGTTGATTGTATGAGCAAACTAAATTTAACGATTTGTATACTGTGCTGTGTCCGCTTCTGTGACATTTTCGAAAGAGGCCGATTTATCGTCGACTGTGCAGCACGTTTGTGATTTACTGACTTCTGAATCTTGAAGGATGCTGAGAAATCTTCAAAGTCAAGAAAGTGGATAATGTATTAGCCATTTACGGACAATTCTTGAAACTCAGTTTCAATTCACAATTCTGTTGCGAAGATGAAAGGAACATCTTCAATCTCTGCTGCTTTCTCAGGTCTGATGCTATTCTAATGGCGGAAAAATGTTGAGTTTTGGCCAGCTGCTGCGTCTTCTTGTCAGTTTCCACTGATGGTATCGTTGTCGTGGTCTCTAATAACACTTCTCAGATATTTTCTCTAATAACCTGACAAAATACCGTAGTAGTCACATTGAAACGTTTTTCAGAGGGAACATCGAATCTCAACTTGCTTTGCCATCCGTTCAGTGGTATTCAAGTCATTTAAAGATTTAAAGATTCACAATAGTCACCGGTAGCATATGCTGTTAAGTGCCTCCGAGGATTGCTTCATCATCCGTTCCAAGTCTTAGTGTCGATGTTCAGTCGGAGATTTTAATCACGCGTATTTTTGTAGTTTCTGTAACGTTCTTTATTCACAGGTCTAATTATCTTGCTGATAACTAGACTGTAGTAAGTCGATTTTCATCTCACAGCGATCAAGATGCTTGCTCGTCTCTGTTTCTTCGCGTTCTGTTCTCGTCCTTCTCCTTCTCCTCATTCTGCTTACCGAGCAACCGTAACACAGAATTATCTTTGAAGGAAACAAGCAGACAGAAAATGTTACACATCGGTTACACACTGGAATGATGTGCTGCAGGACTCCTCAAGGTGAGGTGTGTCTCACGAATCCTTGCCGCAGTGACTGCTTGTGCTCGATAGTACTGGCAACATTGTTGCTTTGTTAAATAAATCGGTCTCCTTCCCGGTTATTGCTAGAGTCAGAAAGTGAACCGACGATACAGTCTACAGGGGGCGTTCTTTGCGATGACGACCACTCTGCACTAAATCGTTCGATCGACGGCTCGCTTTAACGTTCCGGTCTGTCCAATGAACATAATTATTTGCCGGGAAATGAGCTTATTTATTGATTGGAGATTTTTATCGACTCCCGGCCAGCCGGTCCTGTTTGTTTTTGACTGGTCATCGCTTTCGCTCCATCATTGGCAAATTGGTCGTTGTGTGTTGAGTGTATTCTGAGATCGACGACGAGTGCCGAAGCCGAGCTTCCTGAGTTGTATAGATTCGATCCTCGGCCTTTGCCAATACGCGTGTGGCTGGCGTACTCTCCACGCCGGATGTCGCACTCTGACGAAGAGGTTTTTTCATAACGTTCGCTTTACTCGTCACATCAGTTGCGATTAGTCAAGGTGCTGTTTTTACTACCGTGATAGTTTGATTGGCAGGTATTGAGGGTCGAAAAACTGTCGGCTCAGTAGCGAGCTTTCTTTGCCACATTACTGTAATTTGAGAACGCTGCTTGTCTCGGACCAAGCAGAATCTTGACTTGTCATTTGGAGACTACCATTAGGCGAGCGTCACGTAATGTCAGCCAGATCCTCAACAACAACGTATCCCCCTTCTCGTCTGCACTGCCCCTGTACTCCTAACCAATCAAATCTTCATCCGGTGTAAATTGTTTACGTAGCAAACGAATGCCAGGAAATGGCGATCGATAAAGCGATGCTGTGTTCGACGGCT